CAAACCTCCTCTGAACAAATCTTGCCAAGAAGACCTCTTGATAGGGTCGCCTTAGTGTCTCCATAAGTTGGAAACAACTTGAAGGCACACAAAAACAATGAGGGAGAACACCTTCAGTTTCCCTCCAGCTGTGTGTGCAGTTTATTTGTTTATGTAATTTCTGTCTTGCCTTTTTTCCAGCACAGGACCCTAGCTGGCAATCCGAATAAGATGTCATCTGCAGCATATTGGTGGCTATTCTTGCTTGTAGAGATCTGTACAGTTGACCCTCCACATTTGCGGCTTTGATTATTTGCAGTTTTGATTAATATGTTCTCTAGGAATCTCTAAGTCCTGTAGCGCAGTTCTGCCAGAAGTTGATCATAGAGTTGTGCAGGATAACCTAGAAATTCCTAGGGAAAACACTTCTCTAGGCATTTGTGGGTCCTCCAGCATGATTCTATCAGCCTCTGGAAGATGTTGACCATAGAGTTGCACTGGAAATCCTGGTGTTCTCAACAGCTAAAAAAAAAATAGTTTTTTTTATTTGCTGTTTTTCCACATTTATGGGGGTCCTTCACCCCTAACCCCAGTGAATGTGGAGAGACCACTATGGTTGTTATGAGAAGAGCATCATGTGGCAAGATGCCAGTGTCAGGAACAGGCTAACTTCACCAAAATAACTTTACTTTCAAACCCTCCCCCCACCGCTTCCCAATCTGCAGTATTTGGTCCAATTTTGGCTCAGACAACTTTCATCACTAATTAGAATATCAGGAGAATTTACACTGCAGGGCTCTACACTACATTGCTTACATCAAAAGTTATGGAATCATAGATAGCAATGGGACTCCAGCCCCCACCTTGCCAGTGTCGAAATTGACAGCTAAAGCACCCCTGACTGGTAGCCTTCCAGTTCCAGTTAAAAAAAAAATCCAATGAAGGACAGTCTGCCACTTTTGAGGGAGTCTGTTTTTCTGTTAAGCAAGCTTTTGCAGTTAAAAAAAAAAGACCTTCCTAAGTTTAGGAGTGTGGTGGAGTCGCCTTCCTTGGAGGTCTTTAAGCAGAGGCTGGATGGCCATCTGTTGGGGATGCTTTGATTGGGAGTTCCTGCATGGCAGGGGGGTTGGACTGGATAGCCCTTGTGGTCTCTTCCAACTCTATAAATCTATGATTCTATGATTCCTTTTCTTTAATTTAAATTAGGAATATTCTTCCGAGGCAAGAGAAACCATACTAATTCTGTCTTCCATGTTACAACCCTTCAAATTTTTAAAAAGGGCTATCATCTCATCTCACCATCTTCTCTTCTCCCAACTAAACCATCCTTATTTCAAGCCATTGTCCTTCCTAAGGCTTGGTTTCTAGATTCTTGACCATCCTTCCTGTATGGTCTCCAGCCTCATTTCACAGGGTAGCAGTCAGTTCAAGGCCAAAAGGGGTCCCTTTCCAAACAGTATGTAATTATCCTTCAAAAGTTATATTTGTGTCAGTATAGTTTTGCCAGAGAGCCAGAGTTTTGTAGTGGTGCTGGACAACTCTAAAGATCAAGGTTGGAATCCTTGCTTTTCCATGAAAAGCCAATGGAACTTGCCCATTGGCAATTCACACTCTCTCAGCCCCAAAATACTCCATGATAGGGTCAGCTCCCAGAATAACATTTACTATATATCAGGATTAAGGAAGCTATGTCTTTACAGATATTACTGGATTCCAGCTTCCATCAGCCCAGCCAGCATGGTCAGGGACAGAGGGAGCTGGAGTCAAGAAGATCCAGAGAGCCACAGATTTTCCACCCTTGTTATAAACATAAAACAGTTTTCATTTTTAAAAAGTATTCACAACAGATGATTATGTTTTTGCAGTTAAAGCATAATCAATCCCAGAAAATGGGTTGGCAAAGTGCCGCCCTCCAGTTAGAATATATTAGCTTTTAGATCTTATAGTACTTTACTTGGGCAAGTCACATGCTCTCAGCCTCAGGGGAAGGCAATGGCAAACCTCCTCTGAAGAAACTTGCCAAGGAAACCCCATGATCTTAGGATCTCCATAAGTCGGAAATAACTTTAAAGCACTCAACAACAACAACAAACTGCATCCTGAGTAGAAAGGAGTTCCATACATTAATTACATATGTGGAGGGTGGGAGAGACAAGATATTCCACTTTTACTACCGTTTGGGAAGGCAAAAGAATTTATTTTGGAAGGGTTCCAACCATATTGAATTTTCATCCTATCTTTTCTTTTTTCCTGCTAACATTCTGTGTTTCTCACTCTCTCTTTTTTCCATTCAGGAAGAAATTCTCCCTTTAGTTCAGGAATATATCTACACACTGCTGGAACCCTTTGGCATTCATATCTCTTTCGTCATCCTGCAGATCTCACCTTTCTTGAGCCATTCCATTAAAGTATGATAAGAATATCAGTACTTTCCTTCTGTACATTAAAAGCAAGGGAGAGAGGAGGTTAAAAACCAAGGTATTTGCCTGGAATAAACACCACTGACTCTTATTCTAGAACTAAAGATTAGTTTGAGGTGTGAAAGGGGATGAAGGAGCAAAACTCAGCAAGACCACAGCTGGAACAGGGACCACAAAGAGAAGGAAAAGCCAGTAGTGCAATTCAGTCTGAATATATGACAGAGAGGCCAAAATGGAGACTGTCGGAACAGGACAAAGATCTTTCAGGTAAAAGGATGCAACAGCGTTGGGAAGCCCAGTGGCAGGAGTTCCTGAAGACCCTCCAGTCTCCTTATTCAGGAAACCTTCAGTTGTCAGAGACAACACCGTGGGATGATACCAAGGCCTTCCTGGCCTCCTTTGAACAAGTGGCGGAAGCCTGCCGATGGCCTCAAGGAGAGTGGGTGATCCGGCTCCTGCCAGCACTGAGTGGTGAAGCAGAACAGGCCTTTCAGAACATGGCATCCACAGATCAGGAGGACTATGGGAAAGTGAAGGCGGCCATTTTGCGAGCGGATGCCCTGAGAATGGAAATGAGGCGCCAGCACTTCAGACAGTTCTGTTGTCAGGAGGTTGAAGACCCCCGAAGGATTCACTGCCAGCTCCAGGAGCTTTGCCATCGGTGGCTGAAGCCAGAGAAACGCAGCAAGGAGCAGATCCTGGAGCTGCTGATCCTGGAGCAGTTCCTGGCCAGCCTCCCACCAGATCTGCAAAGCTGGATCCGAGCCGCAGGACCGGACACCTGCTCCCAAGCTGTGGCCCTGGTGGAGGACTTCCTGATGACCCAGCAAGGGGCTGAGTCAGCAAAGTGGCAGGTAACATACCAGGGGTTATTGAAGCAAGTTGCCAGCTTGCTAGAATTCTGTTGGTTCAGTTAAAAACAACAAGGGACCTGCAATAAAATGTTGTAGTGAATCTCTACACCTTATGGTGGGTAGCTGCTACCCTCCAGATGTTTTTGGTCTGCAACTTCAATCAGTCATTGCTGTCATAGTCAATGGCAAAGGATGGTGGGAACTGAAATCTAAAAATATTTTGGGAAGGGTATAATTGTTTACTCCTTTCCCAAAAAAGATGTTGTGGTTCAAAACTTAAGTGAATGTAGAATAGTAGTTTCAGCTCTTTTTTCAGGATTGTGTCGGGGAAAGAATGCATCCACTCTCCTGAAACCTTCCCTCTGTTGATCTATATACCATTAAAACCAGGGGTGGTCGGAGTTTAGCCTTGGGCTGTGGGTAGCCCCTGGACTCCATGTTTGTGACCCCTGTAGCCCCCCACAAGTTGCTAAAGTACCCCAGTCCTCCAAATTTTTTTTTATAAAATGTGCAGTTTGGGGGGAGTTCATATGGAAAGCCTCCTCACATGTGAAAACACCCTCACCACATCCTCACAAGCACACCAGAACCCAGTACTACAGTCAAAGACTTCTTTTTTCCCTCTGACCTTCCCCTCAAAATGATTACAGGCATCACTTTCCATTACCATTTTGAGAGGGATTAGCAATAGCAGCTTCATTTATATACTGCTTCATACCATGCTATGCAGTCTCTAAGCAATTTACAACTGTAAGCTAATTGCCCCCAACCAACTGAGTACTCATTTTAGTGACCTCGGAAGGATGCAAGCCTGAGTGGACCCTGAGCCCCTGGCTGGGACTGAACTCACAACCTTGTGGTTTGCAAGTGAGTGGCTGCAGTACAGGCTGTCACCAGGGCTCCAAGGATTGTAGGGGGTATTTGAAAAATGAAGGTATTGGGCTGGTGTGACCCAAGGGGAGGGGTCTGAGGAGCAAAATTGGCCCCTGGCCTGATGCAGTTGCCCACCCTTGCACTTGAGAGTCAAGTGTGGAGTTGTCTGCTGGCCCCGAATGTGAGTGGTTTATTTCAGTGTATCTGCATTGAAGAAAGGTCTCTGGAAAGTTCTTGCACTCTTTCCTGCCCTTCCCTCATAGGGTGAGGAGGAGAAGTTGCTTTATTTTGAAACCTGGCAACACACATCACACCCCGACCCCCAAATCCTAATATTGTGGCCTGTTGCAATAGGGGTGGGCAAGTTTCCCTTCCTCAAACCCACTGCAGACTGTGAAATGCAAAATCAGAAGTAGCCAGACGACTACTTCTGATTGCCTAAAATCCTTGTATTGAGCCAAATGATGTGAAGTGCACTTCATTCTAAAGGGGAATCATGCTTCCTATAAATTTCCAGAAACACAAATTTCCTTTTTTAATGGGAAAAAAAATTAGCGGAGGCAAGTAGGGAAGACAGCCTTTTTCAAGACCTGCAGAGTTGGGCCTGGAATCATATGTTTAGTCTCTGGGCTTCATGTACATCATCCATGTACATGAAGCTGAAGTAGGCTAGATTCTTGCCCAGTTTTCCCCAGCTCACATTTTCAGCATTGCAAATATACTTGATGTACTTTTTATGTGTTTGTGGGAATGTTTTTTTGTTTTGTTTAATTTGCAACTAAAATCTTTCTGACATCTAGGAAAGGATGTCCCAGTCTAGAGTAAGTCCCACAGAAATTAAGTATAGGACTGACTAACTGCCTATCAGCTGAGACCAAGTGTGGTGTAGTAGTTTGAGCTTTGGACTATGACTCTGGAGACCAGGGTTCGAATCCCCACTTGGCCATGGAAACCCACTGGGTGACATTGGGCATGTCACACACACTCAGCCCAGAAAACCCTAGGTTGGGAATGACTTGAGAGCACACAACAACAAACTAGTCTTATGACAACTCTGTGAGGTAAATTGCCAGTTGCCCTTTCTTCCTTCTTGAAGGGCAGTTGCATCATGGGATAGAAAATCCGCAGTTGTAACTTTTCTTAGCATATATATTGGAATGGGCAAAGAGAAGCCCTCTAAATTCTGTTGGATTGCAATTGCCAGCAGCCCTAGAGAGCAAAGACTCTGAGGAATGCTAGGTGTTGCATTCCAATAATATCTGAGGGCCACATTTTATCCACCACTGATGCAGATGTAGTAATGATTGGACTGCTACACTTGTATGAAAGCTTCCTCTCAACTTGGCCATAAAAATTGCAGAGACCATCATAAGGAGTAGAAGTGGCAACCATACTTAGTATTCACAGTGATAAAGCTTACTTAGCCTCCCAACAACATAATGCGAACCAGTGTGATACTGAGAGGTTTATTTACCCAAAACACAAAATAGTCTCCAGAAGAAAACCAAATTTCAAGACACCAGGAGTGAATCTTATCTGTAGCAATTGTTTTTCTGGTCTCATTTCTCCATTTCTGAAATCTCCTCCTCTGTTTTCAGAAACCATTGCAGGATGTGTGTGTGGGTTCCCTGGAAGTGGAAAAGGTGCAATCGGATGCGGTTCAGGGACAGATCTATAAAGAAGCCAAGCAGGCTGGTGATGCTGAGATCACTCTGCTAGGTAAGGCTTCCCTAGGTGTGTAAGAGTGAATGTACAGTACATAATGAGAGCATTTTGATGTCATTTTAATTGCTTTTTAACAAACTCTGTCATTTCTTGGGCCCCTGGTGTCTGCTGGGCTATGGTTCCAGAATCCCCTGTGGATACCAAAATCTGTAAATGCTCAAGTCTCATTACGTACCGGTAAATAAAATAGCATAGTGAAATGCTGTCCCTTATATAAAATGGCAAAATCAAAAAAGGTTCCTTTTGGGATTATTAATTCTTTTTTTTAAAAAAAATCAATCCATAGGTGGCTGAATCTGTGAATATGGAGGGCTAACTGTAACTAAAATAACTGCCTTTTAGTTACTTTTACAAAACCCACATGTGAAAGGATAACATAATTCAGCACTTGAACCATGGAATATTCCTTCTTCACCATTTAATGCTACCTCACCGTGTGTGTTTAACTCATTTTTAACTTCAAGAGTGTAGTGAAAGGACTGATTTGTCATCAGATTACAATCATAATGTAATGATGCTATGCTTTGGTTATGGGTAAATAAATGCATTACAAGTAATTCATTATTTGTAACTGTTACTTTTATGATCTGGGGTTCGGAGAACTTGGATTTGCTTTATCTTTAGGAACTTCTTAAGTTATCTTTAGGAACTCAACCTGTACTCCTTTAAAACCCTATTTGTTCTTTGCAGGTAATGGAGCCGAACACCCAAACCATTCCAGTTCATTGCTTCCTCCTGAAGGACAGGAAGTGACTGAAGCTAGACTGAGTGAGGTACATGACCTCATTTTGCTCCCCACAAGTCCAAAGTAATAGCCTGCAACAACAGTGATTGCCAACAATTAATAATAAAAACAACAATAAAAATTAAAATTACATTCATTTGTCCTGTGAGGACGTGGCTCTGAAAGCCGGCTGAGAGATACTGTCAACTAATACATTTTCCATTTATTTTGCAGGCATTATTATGTTATATTCCTTATAACAATCCTGTAAGCTTTACATGGTTGGTTTATACATTATGACACAGTAATACAGGAAATCCCTATACTGCAGATGGGGTGACTGGAATTTGGGGGCCTTTCACGCTACATAATTATAGCACTATGATTCCTTTCTTAACTTTGACATCCTAACAAATGATGGGATTTGCAGTTTAGGGAAGATTTTTTAGAATTTCCAGCCAGAGAATTCTAGTGCCTCACCAAACTACAAATACCAGGATTCCATGAGGTGCATGTGGGGCAGTCAAAGCGAGATCATAGGGTGCATCTGCACTGTAGAAATGATTCAGTTTAACACCACTTTTAAGTGCTACAGCTACAGCCTATGGAATCCTGGGATTTCTGGTTTTACAAGTTTTTCAGTCTGCTCTGCCAAATAGTGCTGGTGCCTCACCAAACTACAAATCCCAGGATTCTGTAGGATGGAGACATGGTAGTTAAAGTGGTGACAAATTGCATTATTACTGCAGTGTAGATGCACCCTTAGCAGCAGGACTGTGGAGTTGCTATGCCAAACCTTATGTGCTTTAACAAAACTCAGGGGCATAGAGTAAGATGCCTTTGCAAGAAGGTTACACACTTCTTTAGCTTTTAAGTTGTATGAGGAACAATTTCCAGAGTGGTAGCTGTGTTAGTGTGTTACAGGAAAAATGACAAAGTTAAATATTTAATTAAATATTTCTCTCATATATACAGTCGACCCTCTGTTCTTGCAGGGAATCCATTCCAGAACCCCCCACCCCACCCTGCAAGAACAGAAAATCGCGTATATTCAAGCCCCATAGGCTTGAATGGAGGCATGCGCCCCATTTTGTCCCTCTTTGTTCACCACCCGCAGATAGGCAAGGGACACGGATCCCAAGTCTGCAAGAATGGAGGGGCGACTGTACAAACAGATTGACTGCCAATAATCATGTTTCTTGGGCTGCATTTACACTGCAGAATTAATGTTGTTTGACCCTGCTTTAACTGCCATGGCTCAATGCTATGGAATTCTGGGGTTTGTAGTTTTATGAGACATTTAGCCTTCTCTGTCAGAGAGCTCTCATGCCACAATAAATTATAAATCCCAGGATTCCATAGGATGGAGTCATGAATGTAAAAGCAATGTCAAACTACATTAATTCTGCAGTGTGGCAGCAGCCTTGGTTCGGCATTATGTTTATCACTGAAGGAAAGTAAAGAATAAAAGTTAGGTTAATAATAATAATAATAA